AATAAAATTGATTTACTGGCCTGTGAAACTTCAACAATAGAGGTAGAGGTCAAATGATCAAGAAATAATTCATAACAAAAACAGTATATTGTCAATAAATATGTGCATCACCTTCACAGCAAGGTTCTCCTCACATTTTTGAACATGATAACCATTAGGTAGAAATTAAACAAAGTTGTATCAAGATCATCAAGTACATCTTGTAGTCAAAGAACAAAATTTATGAAATGCCATAAATGAGAAACCTACTTGGCACAAACTGCAAAAGCTGTGGTTTAAATTAATGCCAAAATGAATGGAGCATAAGCATAATGGTGTGCCATGAGCTTTGCCAGCAGAGCTCGCCTAAAAAGTTGCAATAGATAATGAGTGTGTATACTATGCAACACCCATACTAGTGCATATTTTTACTAGTGCATTTGCTGCTGCTTGCAGTGCTTAATTACAATGAACTTAACAAATGTCATTTTCTTTAAAAATATATGGAAAAAAAATAAATTTGCATCTGATTCAGAAATTTCTGAAAAACTACAGTTCATAGGTTTTATCACATTGTGAAACATCTCCACAAGTACCATCACTACACAACTTATTTCCGAAAACTTAAATCCTACAATGTAAGTCAAGTTTGAGCTTTTAGAGGAAGACAGATGTACACATAAACTTTACAGGGAAGGCAAGGAATGTCATGATATTGACAGATACCTGTTTTAAGCCAGCTTTAGGCTTTTCTGTCCCAGGAATTAATTACTGGAGGTAAAATGTTCTCTTAATTTTGCCAAAGCTCGACTTCGATGAGATATCTTATTTTTCTCATCCTTTGGCATTTCAGCAAAAGTAAGCTCGTAACCACTGGGTTGAAAACATGGGTCCCATCCAAAGTCTCCAGGCCCTCTTGGGCTGACAATAATACCATCTGTGCGTCCTCGAAATAATAAAACTTCACAATCATCATCACTACTTGCACAGAAACCAAAAGTGCAGAGAGCATATGCTGACTTATCTTCCCAGCCAGTCAGCATGCGATGCAGGCCTTCCGCCCCCAAAGTATCCTGAAACCACTTGATATATGGACCTGGTGGGCACAATAATGAAAGTAGTAGTAACAGCATGGACAATTTCAGAACCCATAAAAGAATTTGTAAGAGGACCATTCACTAAGTCCTTGGTTGAGAAGTGTTTGATATACCATTAGAAGGTACAGCGTCTATTCAAACAAAGGAGGAATATACAAAATTATCATTTTTTTTTTAGTCAGTAATTTTTGTAAATGGTTACTTGATTAGAAGATTTTTCCTTCTTCATAAATACCCTTTACATTTCAGTCTTGCACTTTCCAACAAATCCATTAATAGTGTGCTACGAGTTCTAAATTCTTTTAACAGGATCACAATCAGAGGATAAATACATCCTCACTAAACATTTTTACATTTATTTCCACTTATGTCCAATAAATATATACAATACAATGAGAGTGAAAATTAACAAGTGGGATGCCATAGCCACCAAAAATAAAGAACTGAGGGTGAAAAGACAGGCTAATAAAATATTAAATAAAATTGATTCTGATAGGTAGAATGAAACTTAAATACAAGAAATGATTACTTAAACATGACTCATGTTCCAACTCTCCAATAAAATAATGACACAATTTCATGAAAAATATTGATTTTAACATAATCTCATGTCCCAATCTCTGCAGAAACAAATATCGTAGTAAAGAAAATATATCAGTTGGGTTCAAAGGGAATAGTTTCCTTAGTTTCTTACAGCACCATGTGGTTTTCCTTTGAGAAGTATCACACATACAAATAAAAGTCAGCATAAAACCTTTGTCAAAGATCTGCTTAGCAAACACGATTAGGGAACTAAATCAAACACTTAGTTTTTCTACCCAGTAAGGTAAATTATAGTAATTTTACAATGAATTGCCTGTACTTTGTATCACAACACTAAGAGGACGACAGAGTTTAAGATTCTGCCTTGAACTGGCATTCAAATCAGTATTCAGTAACACCATTTTCTCCTCACGTTGCTGTTTATTAAAACAATACATGTGTGACCAGCCATTATCAGATGGGCTTGATGATCTTGAGTTCGTACTTGAGTCATCCTGATCCCAACTGGCCATACCACAGTGCCGCCGAGGAAAGCGTGATGAGCTTGTGTGATAACGATCCCTATTTTTACAATGTTTTTCCATGTGTTCTAAACTATCTCCATGATTGTCAATCATGCCTCTTACAGTATTCCGTAAAAGTAAGGATCCTAGAGGTGAAGACAAAGGAACTGAACAATTTCGACGCATACATTGCTTAGAAGCAGCACGCCTCTGTCGATTATGAATAGAATTATGAATTGGTCGAGGTCCTCGAGTTGGTTGCAAACCAAGGTATTGCATTACTTGTTCCTGACTCTGCCAGCTAGTAACATTGCTACCAACATGATGCTTCTCATGCATGCGTACGTCTGCAGAGGAAGAGAACTCTCTATCACACCAGCTGCACATATAGATATCCATTTGTTGTTGCTGTTGGTCAACCAATGTCCTCTTAGGTAACAAAGTCTTGCGAGGACTCAAAGGAGCCTGATCATAAATCTGGTTCAACTTTCTCATAGTAATTATATGTTTCCTACTTGCAAGGTGAAAAAGGCTAACAAGTCCATCTTGAGTTTCACGAATTCTGATTTGGTTTGGCCACATTGCATAGAGACGAGAACAGAATCGAAGTAAGTACTCAGCACCATGATATGAATAACATCTACATACTAAAGTCTTCAACCAAGGCTTCCAGCGGTCAGCAACTGCAGGTACTTTGCGTAGGGGAAATACAAATGGAAATCCCACAGGCCACCAAGCAGGTGCTCTTGCTGGTTTAGAACCTAAACTGCATTGCACCATGAAAGGGATGAAGCGTTCCAACTGCGATTCCGTGATTTCTTCTAGACATGTTGGATGTCCTTCAGCAAAGAGAAGTGGAAGGTTGCAGATCACAGTTTCTCGCTGCAGCGAAGGATGTGGTTTTCGTGGAACACGACCTACCCCGCAAGGGTAAAATTTGTTACTTTCAGTTTGATGACATGTCTTCTGTACAGTAAGAGATACATCACAATTCCTACATCAAAATATATTAACTTATTAGCTGGCAAGCTGGTCTTATTGTGTTTTTTTCTGTTTTTCCCACCCTCTCCCCTTACACTTTGAAGATCCAGATATCCTCCTTTGCTCTGAATATGACATTATGATAAAGGGAGGGCCATTAAATAAAAAAAACAAACTGTTATTGACTTCATGATTAGAAAAAATTCAGCTAAAATACAAAGGCCAAGGGCCCTTCAGCAAGTTCTGAGAATGCTTCATCACTCTCAACCAAGGGACAATTGTAATATCCATAAACTCAAAAATGACAGTGCATATTTTCAACAATCAGGCATCAGTGAGATTAAAAGTTGTATTTGGGAGAAACTCTAGTTGACATAGGCCTAACAGAATTATTTACCAAAAAGTAAAGTGACATACCTGGTAATCCACCCATGGCATTGAAGCACAAGCACGAATCTTCCACCAGGGCAGGTCCATTAACAATTTTAGCAGCTGCCTTTGCCTTCTGTTTGCAAATGTAATCTGAATCCCCTTGGTATTCTGGAAGATCCAACTTCTTGGACACCAACTGCAAAAGAAAAATAATAGCAGAACATCAAAGTTTTGGGAGCAGTAAAGGGGAAATGAAAAGAAATGGTACTTTGCACCAAAGCAGAATGTTAGCATCAATCTGAAGCTGAGGAATTAAAGACACAAGGCAGAAATGAATGGATGCGAGGGGCATAGGGTCAACTGAGATCAAGTACAAAATATGTCCTATATCATATTGCATTCTACACAGGCAGTGAGCCAACAGATATCAACCATGGTAATAATTTCTGCTTGAATGCACCCAAGAGGCAACTCCAATGCAAAATGCACACCATTTTACATTACCGGTATAAAGCTAGCTGAAGATGTGATTTCGCCCTCCTACACAAACAAAAGTACTAAAGATCCTTGAAGGTTCATCCCATACTCTTTGACCTTCCAAGGTGCAATAGCTTCAAAGATACAAAACATAAAATTTATTTACCTTGTGTGGAAACTTCTGACCAAGAATTTGAGTGACTTCTTCCAATTTCTTGGAGTTACCAGTCACAAAAACAACTGGTTCACCCATCGTATTGCTCCTGAGGAAATGCTTGACAATGAACCTGCACAGAAAGACAAGAAGTAACTTTTCAGTGTTCAATTTACTGACAATAAGGAGGTTTGTACACAACGATATTTGTCTGGTGATTACAATGAATCATATCAGAGCTCCCTTTGAGCATAACCCAAAGTGGAGGTGAATGATAACAAAGTTAACAGTAAAAAGAAAGAGGCTGACAGCCTTAATCTGATAACTGATGCTATAACCTAACACTTCATTTACATAGCTTAAGACACTTGTAATGAGGAAAAGAATCCAAAGAGTCCTTAACAAAACGAAATGCACAATACCAATGACACTATCAAACACAACTGTTGAAGCAATCACACTCAATTTATCATCCAGTGCTTGACACTGTAGTGGCGCCACAGGCTTGGCCTTCGGAGTCAGACACCGAGCTGCCTTTGCAACCCCCTGCAGCCTGCATAGACCCCCTTACGACCATCACGTACGTACAAGCCAAGAGCAGCTGCTGAGTTTTACAGTGACATAATGGTTTCCCCGACATTGTGAAGAAAGGATAAAACTATGAAGACTAAAGAAAAAAGTTACCTTAAATCCAAAACATCGAAATATTGCCGAAATTGAAGGAGAAAAACAAGCACTGACTTCACCACCACCACCACCCTCGGCTGCGCTACAACCACTGCCACAACCACTACCAACCACGGCCACAGCGCACCTTGGGGCTGTTGGTCCTGGGGACAAATCGCTAAGACACACACCTGCCTGCAGTAAGAAGACGCGTTGGCTTAGGCAATTTAGGACACGATTTCGCAAATTTGGCGAATCCTCGACCAGAGTTCACCGTCCTCCAGAGTGGTCATCGACTTGCTGAAACCGAGGGGGAACGGGACATGGAAAGGCGCGAAAGGTACCGAGGGTTTGAAAACGTGGTGGTCAAAACAATAACATTCAGAGCAGAATTTAGTTCTGAATGTATGTTTAAGAAAAAGTTTAGTTGCTCAAAACTGCACAAAAACTCGTTTCTCAATTTTACAATAAACAGTATGGAATGAAAGAGCTGTCAAATTGCAAAGTGCCAATTTTTTTCTGTAAAACAAAGGGCACGGAACGTGATTGAAATTGCCTGTTGTTACCAACCTTCCAAATTTTATTGCTGAAGCCGATTTTGCCTTCGAACTTGCGTCATTCTTTACAGTGGCGCATGGAAGGTACAGTTGCTCTCTGCACTTCTTCCCTCATTTTGCAGTTTCATTGCGATGGATGAAGAGGCGGACCTCGTTATCGTCGCCACAGACGATCCGTTGCCTCTACCCCTACAGGAAGAATCTGAATCGGCCACTGAGGATAGAAGGACTAGAAGAACAAGAACTGCGCCAAGAACTGTTCAAACTAAACGTCACATTTTTGATAGACACGGTTCAAGGCCCGTTCCTTTCAAGCATTCAAGTATGAAGGCTACTGTCGTCGTTGATGAAATGTTTCCCGAGGGTGCTGGACCCTATGTTGACATTGACGAGGTAGGCGTACTATACCATGGCCAACTTCGTGGGGGCCTATAACCTCTCCTCTGTCCATTGTTTAGCTTTGAGCAGATAATCTGCATTTTGTGAAATTTGAGACCGTCTTCATGACATAGTTTTTCGTATGGGTCGAAAGAAGGTGTCATTCCTCTTCATTTGTGCTCGTTCTATTTTCATTTTAGGGTTTCATGTAGTCGTTGATTTGAACACAAACTGTTATCAACTCAACTGTCATTTTGCTCTCTACAGGCTGGTGGATCTAGTGGACTTCTAATGGACCTTGCAGCCAACGAGAAGTCAGTACACACTGATTTCTTCAATCGTAAGTAGTAGGGTCATTTTTCATTCATTTTAACTTTGTTAGTACTTCGTTACTTTGTGACGTTTCATCTAGTGAGACAAGAATAGAATCTGTATATTTGAGTATTATCCAATACTTCTACTCTTGCAGAGTTTGAAGACTTATACGATGATGAAGATCTAGCATGAACCTTGGAACCTGAAACTGTTACCTGATGGAGCATTCACAATTAGAATTGTTTCTTTTATTTCTATCTTTATTTAATTTTTTTGCATTGCTCCTTTACTCATAAGTTGTATTTATTGATTATGACTAAGCACTTAAGTTTCCCAGATGTTAAGTAAATTTGTTTATATACTGTATGTTCTCTTTAAGACTATTAAAGATGAAAAAGTATTAGTTTCGAGCCTTAGTTATCTGTGATCAATCGCATATGTTAGTTGGATGGAATGAAGTTTCCTGCTGTAGGTTCATGAGGGTAATTGGGCAAAGTGCATCATTTTCAAATCCTTTATTAAAATGTATCTACACATCATTGTGATAACTTACTTTAAATTTATTCTTAATAGTACAATTCAACATTAAATTTTTAAAAATTGTCTCAGCAGTTTCTTTTCAGGCTCTCGTCAAATGATGCTTTATCTAAATATCACATCTGTTGTAGAATATGAACTCCAGACATTCTAACTATAGAAGGTCCTGCTGCCTACCATATAGCTCACATTTACATAAACAAAATAGCAAACATGAAATCAACAAGGATACTTTCAACTTTATGGTAAACATCAATATTAAGGTGGTGTTGTCAACAAATAACTTTGTGCTTACAAAAGTCGCCATCTTTTGAACACACTGAAAGGGTAAACAAGTGACTCTTCAAAAACTTGCCACTTAATTCACTTAAAACTCAACACACAAACTGAAATTGCAACATTGCTAAAGGTGGGACGATAATTGAATTTTTTCAGAGTATTTAAATCTGAAAACAGTGGTATTTCATTTAAAAAGAAACACATGCAAGTTCCCCCATTCAGTACTGGCTTTAATTTCAAAATTCATATCAATCTGATACTGATATGTTAAAATTACTTGTATACCTTGATTAAATAAAAATCATGAGTTACCTTAAACAGATTGCTCCCTCATTGTTCCAAAAATTGAATTCAAGCAATATGTACTGGCTGGGAGGAGGCAATTATAATGTAGAAATGGCATTCTGTAGTATGTTCACATTTTAAATACAATTCCTATTGAATCGATAATTATCTCCAGTAGTCTGCTACAAAGAACTGATCCATTATAACATTAACAAAAATTGCAGGAAGTATTGAAAAAGAAAAAAAAAAAAAAAAAAAAAAAAAAAACTCTTTCAAGCAACAAAAATTAATGACAAATATAATAATTATAATAACATTTATAAAATGGGATGTGAATCATTGTCGACAATATCACTAGCGTTTCTTATTCAGAAACTGCATCACATCTTGGCAACAAACAGAGAACTTGCACAAGGCTTTTTGAAGAAGTTCTGAGAGCACAGCATCTATCTCACCCAGAACAGGTTGTGGAAAATATCTGTTAGAGAAAAGGAGTTCTACAGCATTATGATGGCTTAACAGCAATTGTCATCATTCACCAAAAGAGAAGAGAAAAATAAATTTGAAAGGTCATCTCCCATTTTATCTAAAGGGAACAGAATGGAATAGTACCATGCTCATTTGTTTCATTCTTAATTTTGCATCCTTATTCCAGAACAATTGCGGACCAACCTATTGACTAAATACATTTCCAAACCACTAAGGGCTAGTTGGGTAATTACTCAGCCTGATACCCTACACAGACATTAAGCTAATGATGTTACTTTTTGCTGGAATGCAATCATTTTTAAACACATTCTTTTTCACAACCTATATTCTCTTAAGGGAATATTGTTGAAGCTACAAGTTAGTAACAAAAATATGATGTAGACTCAGCTGGATCATGTTAATAGTTGCACAAAATCATTTCTGCACAAAATGGAGAAAAGAGGTGATGCTTAAGGTTGCAGAATATTGTGAAAGGCAAGGCCTTGGGCATGGTAAACCTTCAAGATTGTCTGTTGGTGTACGGATGAATGTAAGAATCAAAGTCTGTTACCCTGACATTCACATCAAAGCATAAATGGTCATACATATTATTTAGGTAATCGGGAAGTCAGAGAGATATGATTAATTGAGGATGAAAAGATTCTACAATTCTGTCAGGAATTACCTGGAGTGGCTATGCACTCTCTGTTACCAAATAACTAGCTTGTATTCCAAGCCAAGCCAAGCCCAATTATCATAAAAAACAGAATTTTTGAAATCTTTTCATCCACTTATGAGAAAGAAAGACAACAAAGCAGCACTCAATGCAAGACGTTCAAAAACCACAATGAAATATTTTGAACAAAAGTAAACACCCTGTCTGAGATGCAGTCCAAATTGATTGTTCACAAAAACATTAAGTTCTGTAGTTCTATACTTGCAACTCTTGCAGAAATTTTTTTGTAGAAAAAAAAAAATAAAAAAAAAAAAAATGTATACAGCTGGAAATTTGCAAACAAATTATAATGTGGGAAAAATTTGACAGGGTAGTGCAAGAGTAGCTTTCATCTCAGTCTGGTGCTGCCTTGCTGTACAGACACAGGCCACACTTTTTCTTTCACTCCCACATACACACACGCATGCATACTCACACACATACACAATCACACTAATAAAGCTACGCTCCTAGTAAAGAGAATCACCCTGGCATTAAAGACTATGCTAAAATATTGTAAAATAGACACAATCTAGCTTTAAATTTTCTTACATTTCAGAGAACACCCTTGATATTCAGTATCTACAAGATAAGCAAAACACTTTGAAAATAAAAGAATTTTAGTTTTATATTAAATGTATCTTGTAGAAGCCAATTTTCCATTATAAATTATGCTTTTGAATTACGTGTAAGAATTGTATAGGTACAAAACTTGAAATGAAACTGTGTTCATATTTTCTATCTATGGTTCTGAATAACATCAACCTGTTGTAGAAAGGGTCAACTATTTTACATAAATTTTTTCTACGCTATCTGTAGTATAAATATCCTAAACTTTGAAAAAGCAACAATCTGAAAGAGAGGTGTGCATGTCCTCTTTGAGAGCTATAAGGGTCCTACAATCCAGCCAACACACTTTCACTGCCAAATTTACAAGGACTTAATTGTTTTACAGCCTCAATATAGCATTTTGTTTGGCCCTCAGATTTGGTAAAGAAAATTAAACTCAATACAAAACCCTGTACAGTTTGCTTTAAACTTGTCTAGATAGCCAATATTGTGACTGGTGGCGCCTTTGACACGTACATTTTAACTTATGGTTTCAAATGACAGCCAACACTAAGAGCAAAGAAATGGATGCTTACACAGAAGATACATTTAAATTAGTCCACATTATTAGAATTGGTGTATTTCTTTCACAAATATATCAAGAGAAGCATGCATCCAAATAAGGCACATCTCATATATAACTGCTTTCCCTCCTCTCGTTAAGAATGCCTCATTAGTATCATGGGATGTAATGTTAAAGAACTCCACCCAAAATACCATTTTTTGTAACAATGGGCTGTATGTGTCATTTTAAATTTGACATTTTTGGTCGGACGCTCATGAAGCAACCACCTAGTGAATGCTTTCATGATGGAGGGGTAAGATCATGCCTGACCATAAGAAGTGAGAAACGCCCCCTCATATCATCACAGAAACATTAAAATATAGCAATTACAAAAATACAATGTAGATAGATGATTGAATTGTGAAGAATCAGGTGGTTGATTCTTCACATCATCCTTTGGTCTGAATCTGATCATCACATAAAATAAAAGAAAATGTCTTACCTCTACAGTTATCATAGAGTCAATATAGCTACTCAAAAATTTGCACTGCAATTTTGTCATAAAATCAAGCTATAAATCAATATGCTATATACAATGCTCATTTAAGATGTTACAGTACTTAAAAAAACCCTTAAAAAAACAAACTCTACTGCACAAAGGTGTGAAAAGAAAGATAAGATATTCAAAACATTGTTTTTAGCGTTATGTACAAGGTCCAAGATTGTTTTTTTCTTTTTTTGGTACAAAGGACTATTCATCAAATAATTAAGGCAACACTGTTTTGTCTTACAAATACATGCGCAGCATTTTTTTCTTCTAAATATCGCATATTCTTGAAAAAATGGCAACATTTGATATAGCTATGCTAATCACAAACAACCACAGTTCTCACAAATTTTATAGTTAAAGAGCTACCCTCTTGAATTAAGAACAAAATGAAAGTACTGGTTTCACAGCACAAATCATCATCATCACTATTACCTTTAAAGGATTTATACCACAGCAAAAGACTAAAGTACAATTAAAATAGAGATAACAGCAGGGAAAAGATAGGAAGACAGACAGAAGAGCAAGAAAAATTTGAAACTCGGAATGGCAGAGAGACAAGAAGCAAAAGTTGGACATACATACAACAAGAACTATATGTCCAAGAAATCAGCTAATAGAAAAAAGAAAAACTAAAATATCACTAAAAGACGAGCAGACAATATTACATATAAGTTGATGATGATACGTATCCTCACAATTCATAACTGATATCACACCGCAACAAAAATATTTAACAAAACAAGGAAAATCTCAGCTTTACAGACAGAAATGAGGAGATGGAACGCAATTTCCTTGCTTCATCCTGATTTTTCAGACCACCCTCACAATGAATGAAAGCTTCACACAGATAAATTTGTGAAACTTGTATATGATTCCATCAAGGAGGTGATGTTATTGTATTTTTGATTCTCATTAGTCATCAGGCTCACTCCAGTCTACCTTTGACCATTCTGGCAGCTCTGTCTCATACGACCAATCTGGCCCCTGAGGAAAACAGAAAGACGAATTGCTAGTAAACATAAGACTACCTTTTTCATGTTAGTACAGTCATTTTCTCCTGATTCCATGCTTACCCTGAATTTCCAGGCGTGGAGATACATGATGAGGTCTCTGGGTTTGGGGTCCCTGTAGCGAACTTTGCACTCGTAGCAGTGCGGGTCGTGGGTCATTTTGTCCTGTTGGAAGGCCAGATCTGGCGACTCGTGACCCGTCTGGGTGGCGACCGTCACCTTATTTCCGCCGCCGCCACTGCTACTGCCGCTGGCGCTGCTACTCGTGCTACCACTGGGACTGGGCGACGCCATACTGGTGCTCGTAGAGACCATACCGGTCGCTGTGCTGGTGCTCGTAGAGGCCATGCCATTCGCGACGCTGTTGGGAGCCAGGGCGGCCACCACGCTACTGCTGCTGGGGTTCACCAGGCCACTGACGATGTTGTTGTTGAGCGTCGTGCTATTGTTGTTGTTGGTGAAGGACGGGCCGGGGGCGTCCTCGCACGACCCGCAGGGCGAGGGCTCCCGGCTCACGTCGCCGTCGTCCTCGTCGCCTATAGCATTTCAACAACACACACCGTTTAGAAGGAAAGGGGCCCACGGACGAGCCTCACATTGACGTCACTGACGACCGCTCCCCGCACCTTTGTCCTCGTCCAGCTCCCGGCCCAGCGGCTTGAACATGGACAGGTCCGTGTCGCCGTCCATGCCCAGCCAGTTCTCGGCGTTGTGGATGTTGACCAGGTCCCGGATGAGCTCGTCGTCCGCCTTGCCGATCAGGCCGCCCTTGCCCTTGTTGGGGCCGAAGACCACGTGGTTGTAGAGCGGGTCGTTGACCACCGGGAAGCCTGCGGGTCGAGCAGAAGAGCACCGCGTCAAGTCACGGACGGCACGGGAGCCCCTGCCATCGGCGGCATAGGCCGCCCGCCGCACAGCCGCGCGCGCGACGCGGCGGCTGCCTACCCAGCCAGGCGCTCAACGCACCCCTGAGCTGCAGAGAGCCTCAGCTGTTTTTCCAATGCCGTTCAACTTCAAGGAGGGTGCCATCAATTCAGTGTGCGCTATTGGGTATTGCGCGTGCCGACAATAACAACTTTACAATGTTGAGCACGCAACTTGTCTCACAAATACGAAACTAAAAATTGGGTGAGGCCAGTGCGAGGCGTGAAGCCAACTGCTCGAACGAAGCAGTTGCTTGATAAATCATGGTACTCTCCGTCGAACAAGTGAACGGCATTAGTTGGTGCAGCTTACAACTGAGTTCAGAGAGCGGCTGAAAACGCCTGCAGTTGGCTGCATAGTCCACCCGCCGCACAGCGCTGTATCGTGCTGAGCGGCGGTTGCCTACCCAGCTGGGCGCTCGACCGCATAGAGCAGTAGTAATGCGCGAAACGGGTCTCTTTTCCGCCGATAGAGAAATGACCCTCGAACAAATGTTACGTACCCAGGTACTGCAAGTGCACTCTGATCTGGTGCATGCGGCCCGTGTGGGGTTTGCACAGCACCACGCTCGTATTGGTTCGGGGGTTGAAGCCCAGCTTCTTGAAGGAGGTGGCGCACTCCTTGCCCCGGGACGACACCTTGCACACGCCGATCTTGTAGGACACCACCTCAATCGGTTCCGTGCAGGTGATCTCCTCTCTAAAAAAATGACGGTTTTTGTACATTCAGCGATTTTAGTGAAAGGGAATTACTTTCGTACTGTTAAATTATTTGAACTAAAGGAGTCATTATTGCGTTCGATTTTTATTGCTGTTTGTACTCACTCGGGAAAGTCGCCCTCTACGCGGCAGACGTACTCCTTGGCCACCTGCCGGTTTCTGATCTGGTGCTCCATTTGGCGGGCCTTTTTGGGTGAGCGCCCGAACAGCAGCAATCCGCTCGTCAGCCGGTCCAGCCGGTGGATCGTGCGCAAGTTCTTCAGGTTGTACTCTTTGGCCAGAATGAAGACGACGGTGTTGTGCCTGTAGCGGCCGCACGGGTGCACCTGAAAAGCACGGGAGTCTATTTAGTTAGTGAGAAAGCGCTTGAATAAACTTAGTTTTTCAACGAAATAGTTCTACGGGAGTTTAAAGAAAGGATTGTCGCAATAGTTAAGAAAATTGACATTTCGTTATGAGCTATTGCTGAAATTTTAGAAGTGACATGGATGTGGTGCGCTGAAGGAATCTCACGTTTTTAATATATAGTGGACACCTAGTTATAATAATTTCTGGCAATAAACTAAAAACATGCCTTAACCATAAATATTAAAATGTGCACAAACACTCAACGTAACTTAAGACTAGCGAGCATATTTTTTTTTCAAACAAGAACAGCACTGAGATGAAGCATTTTGCACATCGCAAGGAAATCATGCGACTTACACGGCTTCTGCGAAGAGCATCAACTTTACCATGCAAACCAAAGCATAAAAATACATACATACAGCATAGGAAAACGGACTCAACCCATATCAACCACAAACGCACTACACTAAATACAAAAACCACCAGTACGTATCAAGTAACAGATACATTCACTATTTCAACGAAGGCGCGACTTGCAAGGTTCAGGTGTTTTGTCAAATTCCGCTGTGTCCATGCACTCTTCGCAAGAAGTTCAAAGCAAAGCACCCAAATCAGAAGTAATTGAGGAAAATAAATGACGTCGTGTTCCAATTAATAACGTCAACCCTTCAAGTTCAGCTGAGCAGGTTCAGGGTAGACTAGACAGGGCACAGCACATACAGAGGATAGGAATAATTAGAGAAAAAACTCATGGACGATCAATCAAGATGGCTTAGCATTTTGATTTGAGCGGGACCAAAACTGCGAGGAAACATTGTCAGCAGGAGGGTCAAATTATTTCCAAACCCCTTGTCACTTATAAAAACACGCGTGTATCATGCAGTTTCGCCCTGAATACCGTACTATTGGATTTCGTCAAGAAATTCTTTGCAAACACTTTGCAAATAATTGCGAAGGGCTCAGATGCTTTGCAGCTAAGACGTCGGTGTCGGCTGGTTTGCCCACTCTCTCCGCCTGTAAGGCGCCATGGCGCCTGCGGGTACGCAAATTGACCCTCCGACATCGACGTCTCCTCTGTTACACCCGGTACACACTTAAAAGTCAGCATATCAAGCACACAGATTCCGGGATGAAGTAAGTATACATATTCAGTGGGCCTGCTGGTAAATGCCCCACCGCACGTCGCCCAGGAGAACGAGCGCCCGAACACTGACGAATCACACCCTAAAGGAAACACCGAACTGAATAAGTATACTATTCATCATCCCGCCCTCAACTCTAACACGGCAGTCCGTTAGCCCTCGGGGTTCCACCCTCCGTGTTTTGAGGGCGTCATGTTAGAGGGAAAAAGAGGGGGGGGGGCAGAGAGAGAGAGAGAGGTG